TTGAAGTGAGTTAATAGAATCTTGAATAACGTTAGGTAAATCATAGTTAGACAAGCAGCTAGAAATGTACTGTAAACTGGTCTATTTAAAGAACGCATACCACTAATAGATAAACAAGAAGACCATATGAACAGTCTCTTTTGACATTTATTGACTTTTAATAAGAAAAAGTGACTGAGACCCATCCTTTGTTGAGGAAAACCAGTTAGACTTTAAAAGAACCTGTTTACTTCGACCACAGCAGCCTGCTACTGGTATACAAAGAAAGAATTTAGATGGTTGATAGATGAAGGCATGATCAGAACACTAAGCAGAAAGACCATAAAGAGATTTGAGCATATGTATTTGATATAAATATAGTTTTATAGAGACACCTAGATCAATATGTGCCACACTTCATTTAGTTACTTGACAAGTGAACACCATGTATTCAATTGAATGCTGAATAGAATTTTGTATTTATCTTTGATTTATTATGACAGACTAGTTAGAGTGAGTTTTTTCAAGTTCTTTATACTTGTTCCAATAAAATGGATATAATTTCTTTTAAAATAAACAGGCAAAAGATCTACTTTTTGTATTGTGTCCTCTGAAGGAAGAACCATGCAGAGATCCTTTTTGAAGAATCCTATTCACAGTGGATCTGTTTTCATTTACAGTGCTATTTACATGGATTAAGTGTATGTTCTCAATTATCTTATGACAGAATTCTAGATGTTTTAGCTTTTGCTTATTTCATTTTTTTCTTCTTGAACCTGTTTGTATCTGTGGTAGCTTTGGGCCTTTTATCACCATTTTTGTTTGCTTTATAAGAAGCTAGTGTATCTTTACCAAACCTATCATTATGTCGATACTTGAGTGCAAAAAAATTTAGGTAGTGTAGAGAATTTCAACTGTGTAGAACCGCAGTTGAAATCAACTGTGTAGAAATGTACTATTTTTTCATATATGGTCACTGTAATTAATTTTGAGAATAAGTACATATGGGAGAGAATGGATCAGTCTGGCTTTATTGGTTGATAGAATATGGCCCCTGATAAGCTTTAGATTCTCTGTAAAAGATTCTTTTTGCAGCATCACAGTCGTGTAATATGGGTTCCCATTGGTATATTAAACCAGTTTCACCTCTGATATATGATACCAGTGACAACCATTACTTAACAGAAACCTTAATCCTCCTGAATATTTATCAGCAATAAAAATGTCTAAATTCCCGAATCATGGTTTTCAGTATTGTAAGGGAATATCTAAATTTCATTTTTAAAAAATGAAAAAAAAAGGAAATAATAATAATTTAGCTGAATACTGTATTACTTTTGAGGTTTTTCATAAACAAGAGCTTAATGCAGAGGTTAGACATTTCTGTTGACCCAAAATTATTGATACAATATTTTCCTACCAACCAACTCTAGCTGAAAGCAAAAGATATCCAGTATGTTGGCTTTACTTAAACTCTTGGTGTGTGGAAAAAAAAAAAAGAGTGGTACATGGGAAGGGAATGGTTATTGAAACAGAGGAAGTTATAAATCTTCAAATCATATACAGGACAGATTGGAACATTAGAAGCTATCCAAGTTTTCGTAAATAATGTACCCAATAACTCTCTCTGGGCAAGTAGGAAATCTGTTTTCAATTTCTTCTACTTCTAAGCAAAAATATAATTTATGTTAAAAGGAGGGTTTTTTGAGGATTTTTCAACCAAAAATTAATGCAAGTGTCTCATCAGAAAATATTGTTTGAAAACCAGGAGGTTTTGTTGCAATCACTGCTCAGGACACGGTCTTGCACTATAGAAGAACAGCAAAGAAGCATAGAATAGATCATGTCCAGCCCCAAATCAGAGAGCGCTAAAATGAAACCATGGTGCAGATGCCTTCTGACACTTTCAAAAGAATCAGTCGTGATGCTCAAATGCAAGAGTATTTGACAGCCAAATGTTTTATTTTCACTGGAGCAGATTGCTATGAAACCCTACTGAATGAGACTCATAACAGGATTAAATTATTTTACCAAATGCATCTGCTTTTAGCGGAGAGGTTTTTGGAGTAGATAACCTTTGGGGGTCTTTTCCAGCCTGAATTATCTTGTAATCTTATGATCCTATGAAAATTTCTTCTGCAATAGAGTAATTTGGGTTGTACGCTCTATCTGGCTTGTAGCTTTTCTTTTCAGTTTACTCATATTTTTAAAATGTGGACTCTACTTAATGACAGAAAAGAACCCATATGAAGTGAAATCTCCCAGGAAGGAAGTAAACTTTCTGCATGGGAATGCAGTGTAGCACAAGAGCATTCAGGAAGAGACCCTGCTAAAGCTAACAGCACAGGATCTGTACAAAGCAGAGATTATTTATATTATTAAAAATAATGCATCAACTATGCAAATGGAAAATTCAATTTCTTAATTGGTAATAGATGGAAATGTTTGAAGAAAATAATACCCATAGTTTAAAATTAGTCATCTTGGAAAACATGTACAGACTGTATAAGGGATACAAATGAATATTTTTAGCTGCTACTTATCATTTTCTTGGGCCTTTGTGGTTTTTGGTGCTAGATGGGTTTACACTCAGCAAAAGTGCTGAATACCACTAGGCAGCTAGAACTTCCCAATATGTTAGTGTAATGTAGTGTATCAAACAGTCTGTTCAGAACTTAGATTTAGTAAACTACTCAGATTTTAAACATCTCTTCAGAATCTGAAATTTCTTGAGGTTTTCCATTTACATTGATATATTGGATGGAGATTCATCCATTTGGTGGGGAGTGAATCTTAGTGCTTGAGATCATATTTTATGCTTCTGTGTTGAAGGTTATTATCCTGACCTAACTGTGAGTGCAATAACACATGCACACACAGTGCTGGCAGCTCAGGCAATTGACCACTGGGGAAACTGAGGAAGAGTGGTGCTGAAGGGGGGAATATAGGCATGGTTTTATCCAGCACAGAGGCTGCTGCAGACTCTGCCAAGCTGCAAAGATTCCAGAGGAGACCTTGTAAGGACACCTTGCACCAAAAAAGGATGAGCTAATATATTTTATGTCTTGTTTTCTGGTATTGTGCTTACCACTTCATAAAACACGAAAGCTTTAACTCAGCGAGTTTTGTGTTTTTTAAGTGTTTACAATCTGAGAACTCGGTGCTCTGTACACCTGCTGCACCAAAAGCTTAAGTTAAAATTGAGCAAAATCTTACTGAAGCCAAAGCAGATACTCTGACTAGCTAGTTTAGCAATAAAAGTTCATAGTATTGAGTCCTACGTTAAATACAAAACAGCATGATCAGAGTCTCATATAAGCATGTATTTCTTGCCTGTTAAAAAGAATGAAACCAGTGAAGTTTTGGCTACTGCTATTTCTAAAATTGCATCTGAGTCCTGGTGCTGTCCCTAAGAACTCATGCAAAAGGAGTGTTTCAGTTTATCATATTTCTAAACAAAGCTTTAAAACTCTGTGCTACACTATTTATAAAAGTGGTAATAGCAGAACAATATCGTAAGGTGTGCTGGACTGGTGTAATGGTTTATTGTGTTTTGCTTTTCTAGTGACCATCTGAACCACTGCAAAAGTAACAGTACATGATGGTGATATTCACTGTGTGATGCATATTACTGTTTTTTTTTTTGTTCTGCATAATTATCCCTTTTCCAATGAGTTCTGTGCACTTTTCACACACATTTCATCAAGCATCAAATTATGAAGCAAGAACAGCCTCTTATAATAGTGCATTGCATAAGTAATCATTGCTGCCACCTATTATTTGTTGTTTTCAGCCAATGAGGTTTCTGCGTTACTGAGTTTTCCACAGAACAGTTATGAAGTAGGTGAGACTTGGACGGTCTGCTTCTTACCCTTGGAATTACTTTGCTTCACATTTGGCAGTTCAAGTGCCAAATAAGTTTGTGAAATTTTGTGTTTGTAGCGTTTGTGCGCAGACTATATGACTGTAATGAAGTTGACTTTCTGTTAGTTCAGGAATTGCGTCTATACCGCCTTGTCCGTTTTCCTGACTTCTGTGAGCAATGCGATAATTGGAAGCGTTAGCAATAGGCATATCAAAATCGTCATCTGTCTTAAACCCATGACAGTAATGGAAGCTGGGGTTGAGTTTGTTCCATGAAGGAAACTGTGAGACAATGTGGGATATTCTAATCACAAATGTTTGGACTTTGCTTTACAATAATAAAGCAGCAAAGATCCCTTAAGTCAGGAAGAGTGCAATTTCCTAGGCCTTTTCTTCAGCCTCTCAGAATTTAAAATGTAGAATTCAAGAATGTGAATGTAGGTATATATTTTGGTTCTATCTTACATGGTCAGATACATGTATTAAGGGAAACATGGAGCAGTAGAGACCTTCGTGATCACAGTCTGTGCAAACTTTGATTTTCTAAGCAATCTATTGCAATGGTGCAATAAATAATGATTTCTTATTGTAAAGTATTTTACTTGTAGGAGTTATGGTAGGAAAAAGATTTCTTTTTTACTGCTTATGGCCTATAATTGGCAAGCTTTGCACTATCTTCATTGGCATAAGTGTCTGCTTTCAACCGTGTAAAAATATCAAATCATTTTAAGGAGTTTTGCTGTCTCATTATGTTATATACCAAAAATTTAAACAGTAAATCTCAGTAGAGGAGGTAAAGATGTGGAGAAAAATGTGTAAAATAAAGAAATATGACTTTGAAGGGGACTGGTTGGACTGGTTAATACAGTGTATAAACATATATATAAATGATGTCACTTATTGTTAGATGTGTAATACAACTTGGCCAAATGGTTTGTTAATAAGAGTCTTTGCAAGTGAGAGTATATATGTATTTGCAGTTGCAAAGCACCTTCTGCAACTGATGTTTTCCATCTCTGGCTTCCTGGAATAGGATCTAAAGAAACATCAAGAAGAGACTAATACTCTTTTTTGGCCAATAAATTATAATTTCCTTTGCTTTCTTGCTTGCTTGTTTTATCTTCTTTGCAAGATTAACTCTGATTTTTCTGTAACAGGCACATAGTTGTCTGTGGTCACATAACACTTGAAAGTGTGTCCAACTTCCTGAAGGACTTCCTGCACAAGGATAGGGATGATGTCAACGTAGAAATCGTCTTTCTGCATAAGTGAGTAATCTTTCAAAATTAGTCTTATCATATGTTATTAAAACTCATTAAATTAAGCCATATCTTTTTGGGGAAGATAGAGGATCTTTCAAGCTCCAAATAAGCATAAAATTAATGTTTGCAATCACTTGTGTTAACGATGTATTCTGAAAAAAGAGTTGTTTTCTGCAACTGTTTTATAACCCATTGCTAAGTATAAGTGATTCAAGCAGACAGACTTCAGACTCAATCACATCAATTGTGAGGTAAATAGCTAAACACATAGTTGAAGTGGGAATGGAATTATGAAATAAAAAATATTGAAATAATAATAAACAGATGTGAGAATTTTCTTTAGCGGCAAATATTTCTAGTGAAACTACCAAAATTGGTAAAATCAGTAAAGTTAGTGAAAAATACTGTATGTCATATGAACTTATGCTATCTGAAAAGACATTTTCACTTTTGATTTTGCTAGGAAAAAAATGCTTATTTAATATTGCAAAATATGTATAAAAAGAAAAATGTAGGTGTGGATGTAGTTTTAATATAAGTGAGATACATTACAGATATAGTGAAGATAGAAAACAAATTCTTGTCATGGTGATAATTAGTACTGCTTTTTTACCCATATGTACATACCTACACACACATAGTCTCTTGCATTTTTCTGATGTGGGAATTTGGAAATGTGTCTTAAGGTGGTTGCTGTTTGTTGCAGGCTCTGCATTACATGTAATACAACATCAAATAGGCATGCCTATGGGAGAAGCTGCTAGAAATAGAATAGGTCTTTTCTGCTCTGGAATGGCATCTGTTAAGAAGTGTTGCAAGCTATGAATGAGTAATATTTTTGCATTTAGCAGCAAGTTCTGCACTTCTTGTCAAATAAAATGATTAAAAAGTTAAAGAATCCTTTATGATGATTCAACAAAGGAAGCTGAAAAACTAAGAATCAGCCGCACTTGCACAATTTTTTTATCTAGTCCTTTCAAATTGAACTGAAGATTATATCTTCAAGTAACTACATTGTTTGTTTGCTTGTTTCCCCTCTCTAAGTAATAAGAATTGACTGTCAGAGGAAAGCAGATATCCAGCTTTCCACAGTGAAATTAGAGGGTGATAGGAATCAGGAAACTGTATATGCACATGAAGGGAGTTTAGCACCTGGCTACTTGTTTGTGCCTGCTTTCTTCCGTACCTTCACAGACAAATGTTTGCATGTATCTGTTTTATTTTCTTATTAAATTTAGCGTGTGACATGACAAAGATCTCATGCACTTACTATGTAGCTATTAAATCCCTTCTGTTTTAATGAGTGGCATCTAGAAAAGGTATTTACAAGATTGGTGCCCCATTATATAATAGGCTGTGATCTATTTATTTTTTTCTATTTATGGAAAAATGAAATGAGACAGAAAGTCACAGCATAATTATGTTTGTTTTAGTTGTAGCTCATACAGGCCACAGGGTCCCTATAGGGTTTTTTTTCTGGCTTTCAGTGATTTTGCATTGAGCTCTCTGATGCAGTTGGCTGTTTTGAGACCGGTGGGGACATCCTCATCATGCAGAGGATGATTGTCTTAGTAGACAGTTTCTGTGGAGAATGCTGTGTGAGCATGTTTTCAAATGTTTGTACCAATTCTTCTGGATTCACGTCTGTGAGAAACTGACAAAAGATGAATGTTCAGAGTAGCACCATGAAGAGGGCCAGAAGCTCTGTAGGCAGAAGTAAGGAAGTGAAAGCAGTATAGTATTTGCCTTTTAAGTACTGTACACTGTTTCCACACCACAGGAAAAGCATCAGCAGAAGTCTGAATACCTAAGATAAATAAACGGGTTGGTTTATAAATGAAGGAAATAGTGCAGTTATGGAAGCTGACTTCTCATTTGCTCTTGTGTTTTCTTTCTCTTCCCGATGCAGTATCTCCCCTAACCTTGAGCTGGAAGCTCTTTTTAAACGACACTTCACTCAGGTGGAATTTTATCAGGGTTCAGTCCTTAATCCCCATGACCTGGCGAGAGTGAAGGTAACAGCTTTGTTGTTCTGTTTTCCTGCTAATTGACTTTTTTTAAAGTACTCATTGCATTATTTAGAAAAAAAAACAGTAAAGCTCTTCTTTATGTAACCCCAAAAGATTGTTTTTCCATCTCTATTAGCTTGCCTAATAAATTATAATATCTGTCCTTCTAAACCTTGTTTTCCATATATCTTTAGATCTTCAAAGCTATAGTAACACTGTGACTTAAGATACATTGTCTGCTATTCTATTGAACTCTTTATGAATTTTTCATTCGGGTTTAGTTCAAGAGTCTATTTTACATTAATGTTTGATATAATAGAACATTACAGTAATTGCTCAAAACGCTATTGTCTTACCTTCATCAGAACGATTAGAAAATAATTTTTCACCTGTCAAACCCTTTTTCTATTGTCTAGAGTCATGGAATAAAAATACAATTTAAGATTTTTGGTAGCTAAAATGAGATGGTTTTATTGTCTAGAATTCTCTATGGTAAATTATTTTGTACTCTTAGAGCAAAGCATGAAACTTAAATAAAAAAAAAAGATGGCAAGCTGTCAGATACAGCATTAACTCTTTTATGTTTCTTTTTTTTTTTTTAATGGAATGTAAACCAGCTACTTAAGCCAAGAATATTTCAGTGCAATGTTAACACTTCCTGGAGTATTAATCTTGTCTTTTGTCCATTTTGGCTGCAGAAATTGCTTAACCTTTTGTAGCCCAACACACACCTTTTCAGTTCATCAGAACAAAATGTTCCATTTAAGACCACAAAATTGTGTTGTTGGTATTTTGTGTTCTGTATTCCATCCTTCTTTGTGTTGGTATTTGGTTGTATACAGTGAAAAATACTTTTGTCATCTGCTTTGAATTAAATAGAGCTAAGGTTTGTGTGAACATAGAGGTCCTGTGAACAGATCAGTTCTCCTCCTCATGCTTTCTAAAACTGGTGCTCAGATTCTAAATCATCATTTCAGCCGCCTCTTCCTGTCTCTCATAGGAAGGTACTTAAATCCCCAAACAAAGCTGCAGGACTTGTGGGAGCATTGTACTGATACAACAGGAACTTCCTATGGATTTAGGGGTCTAAATTTCAGTATCTGGTTATAAGAGATATGTCCATTAACACCTTCATGCCTCAGCTGATACAACATAAGAGTCAATAATTGAGCTACTGACCTGGTCTGAGTATCATAAGCAAGTTTCAAGAAATCGCTATGGGTATATGAGAGCTGTTATCATCACTAACATTAACTCACGTTAGCCTTGTAACATTTTTGATTAGCAGTATTAAGAACTGACATTCACACTCATAATGGCAGTGTTGGATTCTGTAATACTTTATGATGAAAGAAGAGCTGGAAAGAGAGGTTGCTATTTATGTTTGCTTTTTCTTTGGTGTCTCAGATAGAGTCAGCAGATGCGTGCCTAATCCTTGCCAATAAATACTGCGCTGACCCAGATGCTGAAGATGCCTCCAATATTATGAGGTAAACTCATTAGTTTTTAATAGATTTTTGATTCTTAACTCTGATTAGCTAACTTCTGGTGTCCAAATAGGCTGTAGCCACACACAGCTTTATTGGTGATTTGTTGCACTTGAAGAACATTGCAGGATTTTTTTTAGGGGACAAACTACAAGATTGTCTCAAAAGTTCAGAGATGAGGATACCCTAAATTCCTGCCTAAACTGTTTTAAAATAGCTGCTTTAGAAAGAGTAAGAAGAGACACTTGGAACACAAGCTTTGGTACTCTTAGTCATTTTGCAGGATCTAGGGTTTAAGTATTCATAGGTGAATGCACTCAATAGAAATGAGAGGAAAGAGAATGCAGTTATGTCGTTCCAACAATATGTTATGTGAGTGGATGTACTGCATGGGCTGGTGTTCACGATGGGACAAGAAGGACCCTTAATGACTTCATAGTTCATTGCTCCATGGTATATCTGCTTCTACCAGTAATTACACTACTTGGGTGAAAGCAAGGTATACACTCCATGATGGTAGTGATGCAGTGGTCTCCTAGCTCCATCTTCCTTTTTTGCACTGAAGACCAAATGTTGCTTATTTTGATTGACAAGGCAGTGACCACATTAGGGATCATCAGATCTTGTCCTGCTTTCCTCCTTACATTCTCTGAAGGAAGAAGATGAAAGAGTCAGTCAGAATTACAGCAGCTAGAATTACAACAAAGCTAAGCCATTCCACTTTTTGTTTTGTTCATACAACCCTAGTTTTAATGAGACCAGTCTCTACTTTTTAAAATTAAAATGTCAATGATTTCTTAAAAATTCTCTAACATAGTGTTATGAACCAATTTTACTGGCCTGTCAGATGTTTGCATGCTGTGAATTGAAGGAAGGGGAGAGAAAAAAAAAAAAATTACTCCTTTGGAAGAAGTTCACTGGGTGCAAGAGATCTGGCTGTCTGTGGAAGGTGCAGCGCTTAAATATGCCTAATTTCATTTTCCAGACATGCTTTTGAGTTTCAATGCAAGCAACTTTATTTTGACATTAATTGCATAAATACATTAAAAATATTCCAGTTGCAGATTAGTGCATTCTTAATAGATTTAATACATTTAATATAATAAAATGCAAAAGTGTTATTTTGAGAGTGGAATGCTCTTGTGTTTTCTCACATTTAAATGAATTTAATTCAAAAAAATTGAATGTTTCATTAAATAATTCAGTAAGAAATGGAAAATTAGAAGGAAGACTTGTTTTCTTCTTCCAAAAGATAGCATAAATTAAAATCATGCATACTACTTTTTTTATCTGTTTCGTGCTCTCGCTTTGATATGCTTCAAAGCACAAGCCAGACCAGCAGTTTGCAAGATACACCCTACAAAACACTAGTGTAAACAGTTATGGCTTTTCAGTGTCTTGAGACTGGTGATTCCATAATAATTCAGATTTTTTTTGTTTTGATCGTTTTATCTTTTTCTACCTTTGTTTGTATATATAGAACGGATTTTTTTTACCTGTTTCTCTCTTTAATTTTGCTCAATGCTTTTTTGATTTTTACATTGTATGTTCCCCTCTTTGTAACACATTATCAATCCACTAATTTCTCAAACAATTTTCTTTCCAGCAGCTTTTAATCTGTACACAGTTGAGTATATCTTAGTCTCATTAAATAATTAAGAATGCAGTCAAACTGCAGATTATGGAAGTAGCCCATAGTTTATAAATTCAGAGTTCAAATATGTGTTTCAATATTGAGCTTTGGAATAATCTGTAAAAATTAAGATGAATTTGCATGTGGATTTATGTCAAACAAAATCATTATTCAAGGTGTTTAAATATGATGAATGTCTAGCAACTATAAATAATCTGTGGTGGGGCAGAAAGGGATTCTTTTCAGACACTAATCATTGGAAAACCTGATCAATTATGTTGATTCCAAGACATGAAGATAATTACTGAAGATGACATAATAATTGCAAGTGTATTATTTGCTTAACAGAATGAGTACAGTATCTGAACAGAGCTGCTAAAACAAGTCTCTTTTTCTGCAAATTCCATAAGAGTAAACCATTCAACTGAATAGTTCCTGAAGCCTGATGTTCCCTAGTATTAGCTGATGGTTATTAACTGAATTTGACTAGATGTAAATATTGCATAGGTCTGACTTCAATAGGTACACTTTACACCCAGATGAATGAGAGGGTATACTTTTAATTGTGGGCCTTGACAACAGAGTAAAGTAAAAGTATTGGGATATGTTATCCAAATATCCTACCAGTTAAAAGTTTTGTTTTTTCTTTTATTTTTTAGAGTTATTTCAATAAAGAATTATCATCCGAAGATCAGAATTATCACTCAGATGTTGCAGTATCACAATAAGGTAATGTGTCAACCAACAGTGTCTCTCCCCAGTTTTTTGCTACGTTGCATTCACTCTTACACAATTTTTCTATCTCCACTAATAGTATTTTTCTTTCCAAACAAAAACGTCCTAATAAGCCTTGTCGTGTAATCCGGTTACAAGGTAATTCAGTTTTATTTATATATGCAAGGGACCTTATCAAAATCCTCTGACATTTATTAATTGCCTAAGGTCTAATTCTCAAAGCTACAGTGTCCATAGTTGCTGTTGATTCCAGATGAACTTTTAAACACTCAGCTTCTATAAGTTTTGCTCATCTTATTACAGTAGAGCTACTCAAGATGAATTGGTGACCTCCAGGCAAGTGATTTGAAGACAGTTCTTTGTGGATACTTATAAAAAAATGCATATTATTATTGTTTTATTGGAGATTTATTGTGATTTTTGTGTTTCTTGCATGACAATGTAGACCTGAAATTGCTAAGTAGCAGGTACAAAATAAAATTAAGTGTTTTTTCATATAAAACATAATTCAGTTGTGGAATTTGTTCCTAAAATTATTGTGGAGATCAAAATTATAAATCCGCTTTAGAAAGGAATTTGGCAAATTTTGGATGGTAGATCTGTGGCTTTTAAATGCAATGAAGTTAATTCATTCAATCCTGAGATGAGGAAGTCCATAAACTGCTGATTAACAGGGCTAGGAAGAATATATCGGAGGACAGACTACTCATGTGTGACCTGCTTCTTTTATTATTTCTAAAAGCATCAACCACTGCCCCATGTTGGAGAAAAAGCTTGACTGAGCAGACCTTCAATGAAATACAATAATCCTGGTACTCTGGAGGTTTGACTGCTAACAACTCCTTATACCTGTAAATGTTGGCTAGAACAAGAGCAATTACTGTTGCTTGTGATGTCCTCTTCATGTATGTGAATGGAAGGAGCCTGTCTTTTTATAGAACAAAAGCAAGGTGTTTCTCTGCTTCAAACAGCTTCAGAGGGGATGATCTTTTAAATACTGCATTTTTCCGTTGTATTTTCAATGAATGCATCTTCAAGAATAGCTTTTATCACAGCTCTGAACTGTAATATTAACTTACGAAGGGAAATAAACATGAAGGCCTCTGTGTTTCCTTATGTCTATGCATTTCTATAAGGCAGATGGAAGAAAGAATCTGATAGAGTTATGCCAATAACTGTACAATATTAATACCTATCTAACTGACCAATGTCAATACTGGAGGTCTGTCTTGATCAGCTATTTTCTTTATTGTATCCTTATAATTAGCAGTCTTAGGAAAAAGTTTGGATTTTCGGTAAGTCAAGTGCTATCCTGCAGGGTGGAAGGAATGAAATAGAAAAGACAGATGATGTTGTATACCTTATTAAATGATAATGTCTTACAAAAGTTGCAGCTTCACACACATTGTAATCTAAGTTATATTAGATTCTTGTATATTATATATGTGCCCTATCAGTCAGAGAGTAGCTCAAAGTGCTGTAAAAGGAATACACAGAAGGGAAGGAAAACTTTACAACATTCTGTAGTTCATTCAGGTGTGAGGATGGGCCTGGCAGAGTATCACAGCCAGAATATGGCTTGAGAAATGTGATATTTTGGCTATAATAGGTAAGACTGGAACATTTCTTAGCATAGACTTAGCAGCTCTAAAATACTCAGAGTGCTTCTGCCTACTCAGAAAAAATAAAGCCAGTAACAAAGAAAATCATTCACTGCTATCTCCTTCAATACTGTACTCTATTTCAGAAAGTATTTCTGGTTCTTCACCAGTTTGGGTTTTTTTTTGTTTGTTTGTTTCTTTGTTTTCCAGGCTCATCTGCTAAATATCCCAAGCTGGAACTGGAAAGAAGGGGATGATGCAATCTGTCTTGCTGAGCTCAAGCTGGGTTTCATAGCCCAGAGCTGCCTGGCACCAGGCCTGTCAACAATGTTAGCCAACCTCTTCTCTATGAGGTCATTCATAAAGGTAACGTCTTGCCTCATTAGAATATATTAGTCTGCAATTCAGTTTGTCAGAGAGCTGAGCAGAGAACATGGCTCAAATATGAAACAGATAGGAACACATTAATAGATTTTGTAAGGCAAAAAAAAACCCCAGTGCACACTTACATACAAAAGTTCTCTGCTGCAAATTGGGCAATGAGCCAGGTTCTGTCACGTTATGTTTTTATTTTTATTCAGCAAGTGTTTGGCCTTTAAATGATTGTTCAAAGCATCATCCATTTCTAGGGAGATATTTCTGGTGTTTTGTGTCTTGCTTTGTTTTAGACAAACTACATATTTATCTATGAGAAAAGCCCCTGCTGCTAAAACAAAAATATGATTTATGTATATCCCATATAGCAACAAAGTGTCCAGAAAAATCAAGCGGCTAGTGGACCTCTGACTGTGAGAGTAAATAAGGAACATGTGTTGGAACTGAAGCTTGAACTTCCTACAACATCATTTGTGTATTTGTTTCTCCTTGTTTAAAGAGCTCTTTTGGACTTACGTGGCAAAATTTTAACCCAGTTATTCCTAGCCTTCTATGGCAGCTGTACTAGTTCACTGGACCAAGGCCTTGATTGAAGCAATCAATGCTTCCTTCCTTGTGCCTTTCTGGGACACTGATTCCAAACATAAAGGATAGTCAGTTTCCAATTTCATGAATGTTATTAATGGGACAGAAAACACTGGTAGGCCATGGTCCACTTCAAGTCCATTGTGCAAATAAGCAAAAAAAAAAAAAAAGCCTAATGTCCTCAGGTGAGAAAGCCAAGACTGTTCTCATGGCGGTGCACATGTCAGTGCAGGGCAGTGAGTCTTTATTTACTTCTTATGAAGTCCTGAAATTCTTATTAAGGTATCCTTTGGAGACCTCCAAAAAATTGGAGACAGCAGACTCCTGTGTGTCAAAAATATTCCAGACTATGACATATAGTCAAAAAAAATGCCATTTTTCAACATGGAAACAAGCCTGGGCTCTGCACTTTACTGTCTGCAGTTACCATGTTTGCATCTTTATTCATGTTCTGGGGGAAAAAAAAAAAAAGCTTTACTTTTTACTAAAGCCAAACTTGGGAACTGTATATGACTCATCAGCATATGGTCGCTTTGATATTAATCCTTTCTACTTATATCCCAAAAGAAAACTATATGTCTTATGAACTTCATTCTTCTTGCTGGTCATTTTGATCTGCCTCACTCTTGTCTGGTGTGGTAACCCAACACTCTCAGGAGTCTCAAACATTTGTAACAGTCACGCTAACGTATCCAAATTACTGAGGCAACCTGTTGTGTAAACTTGCTCTTGAAATCAGAAGTAGGCCTGAAACTTTTGCTCAGCTTCTCTCTTTCCAAAATCAGAAGGGATCAGTTTTCTCTTAAGGAGATCCAAATATATGCATATCTTCAGAAGCCCCAGTCTTAATGCAAGTTATTTTAATACTGAATTTAAACTTGCAGTGAGAAAATTGAGAGATTCAGAAAGTTGTAAAGTGTACAGATATCTGACTATGCAGGAACTGTACCAGAGAGAGACACATTTAAGGCCTAGATTTGTAGTTAAAACACTTAAACAAGTCAAAAAGTGCAAATGTAAAGGTATCATCTTTTCAGAAAATATATCTAAGATAATGACTTATGCCATTATCTTACCCACCTTCAATCCTGTAATTTCTTATTTTATAAGATATTCTTATAATAATTTCAGTACAGTGACAGGTTGGACTATCTCACTGATGAACAGTTGTAAGCTGAAGGCTCAGCTTTGCAAGGCACTACTCATTATATCTGAGTATTTCTATATACACAGAATGAGCATTAAAATAGCAATGATTTTGATTTGGAGGAAGCTGTCAATGTCAGTTTTGCTCTTGTATCTGTGTTTATATACAGTTAGAAACAGAATAGGATGCAGACAAACCTTAACTTGTGTTACTTCAGATGTCATCTTCAGATGGCACTGTGAGAAAAAATGCTGTCAAATAGTGAGTTGGGAGAATGCAAGACTGTTAGTATTGGTTAAAAAGATGTCTGCTACTTAACTAAGAATGAATTGTCCAGGCAAGTAAAATACATATCGTCATTTCCAAAGATCTCTGAGTATATTACAATCTAAAGCAAAATAAACGTACAAGAACTGAGACATATTTCTTCATAAGAATCCAACTCAGTTGGTGACAGCAAAAGGTTTGTTTTGTTATTTAGCTGAAAGGATGTTCTTTCTCCAAACTGTCTCACTCTTAAAACTGTATTTGAAAGAGAAAACTATTACTCAGTGGTGTCTGTGAATCAACACTATATTGTAGGAGAGCAGCTACATAGATTGGAATTGTTAAAGAGGACTCTATTGAAAAGAAAGATGTCCATTCCCTAAAAGAAATTCCACCCCTTTTCATTTAGAGCACTGAATTTAAGTACCGTCAGACCTTCAAAATTCCTTGGGCAAATGGTATTAGTGGATTCTCCCACAAGTTAGGAGATTGCCAGGAAAATGTACTGAAACTTCTGTATTGTTTTTAAAGAAAGTTTGAAATGTGTGTTTTTTACTCCTCCTTCGTAATGTGATTAGAAAGTGATTTAATGTGCCATAGATGTTTGGTCAGTCAAACACAAATGAACATGATTGATGGTGACACTGCACACATTTAACTCATTATGTGTTACTTTACAGCAAAATGATTTGTGTAAGCGGTCTGCCCAGTATTAGAGGTAAAACAAACTAAGAAACCTCAAAATATTATGTTTGTTCCTAATATTTTCCTTTTGGTTTTAGCGATGTAATCGCATATGGAATCTTTTATGTTCTCTTTGGCACCAAACTGAACAAAAAGAAAATCAGCTCAGAAAGATTAAGGTTCTATAAACACTTAAAGAAAGAAAGATAGATTGCACAACAAATGATATGTTAAGCAAAAAAAAAAAAAAAAACAACAACTTTACACCTGTAAAGTTTATTTCGATAGTCGATTCTTTTTATAGCATAGAATGTTATCATTGGTGTATTAATAAAGGAATTGGGACTCTTGCATAGTCTCGGTAAAAGATGGAAATACCATACTGTACTGCAATTTTTGTATTGTTTGGATTAGCAAATGTATACCAGAAATCTACCCATATGAAAAACATTGCAAAGAGTAAGTAAATAGAATAAAAGGCAGAGGTGGTCAAATTTTGTCCCTTTATACAACCATGCAAGCCAATATGAGTTATTGTTGTATAAATTAATAAAATGTGAACTGTGATTCTTGAGTGTAACACAAATCCACAAACAAATTAGTTTTATCTTTCCTCTCTTGGTAAGACAGTACACCTCATTCCAGATCTGAAAAATGATCTAAAGCAGTCTCAATTCTCCTCTAAGCTATTTTGAGAGGAATGTTCTGTGGGCTCTTTTGGCAGCTGTTGCTCACACCCACATATGCAATGCCCACTTCTCCCACTACATTCCTTTCTAGTCCAGGGTGAAAGAGAGACATAATAAAGCCACACAGATTTACATCAGTCAGGTGCTTACCTACACTGATGGGACACATGAACTGGTTTGCTATTTATTTTTGGCCACCTAGACAGCCTTGAACTGTTAAAGTATGAGACTAGGGTATGCACAGTGAATTTCTTCACATGAAGGAGAACTTTAAAAGGGGGGTGGGGAGGGAATGGAACTTTTCAACTTACTGTGAAGTTCTTCAGGAGGCTGCATAATAAACTGATTACCTGATCCTCCTCACAGGATTTAGACCAACTGTTAATGTAGCCTGTTCCCAATGGCATTTGTTCTCTGAAAGGTCTGACTGAACATAATATTTTTAATCATTGAGTCCAGGAATTAAAAATTGTTGTGGTTGAAAACTATTTGCTATTTACAAATAGTATCAGTCCTTGTGATAAGAGTGATATATTCGTCTTGGACTGAAGTCTACCATGGACTGCATTTTTCAGTCAGTCATTTGAATAGATCAACACCAATCTATCTTTTTTATGATTGGATAGAAATACTGCCCTGTTTTGTGAATTTGAAAGTGTTAGAAGTAGAGCCTATATGCCTTCAAGTTCATAACTATCAAGGCTAGCACCTAAAGAAGAACTAGGTGTCATATTTCAAGAATGCTCTCTCTGCTTTGACCTACTACAAGACTCTCCATAAGTATGAACAATGAAAAATGTGCATATACCTCTCATTTGAAATTAGAGCTAATCTTAATTAACATATGTTTTATAAAGCATACTCTTTTCATGCCAATTTTAAAAAATATTCTTGCATACAGAAAGAACTGCGGGAATAGTTGGCTGAGGTTGTAAAATTTTTATACCACTAAGCACACCTGTTAGCTTTGATTTAAGCAGATAATGGAATTGAGTAAAGAGGTAGTTGATAATTTATAATACTTAAGGAAATTCAATTATAAGACTAAATCTAAGAAGCTTCACTAGGAATGTATGAACTGCTTTCAGCCAAGTATTTATCTGTCAGATTTTGATATTCTTACCTAAAGACATAATAAAACCAGACATTCACACAAGCAATTTGGGTGGACTGAAAAGGCAGTATAGGTGAACATGAGGAAATGTTTAAAATACATTGCTTTCAATGTACAACTTCTTTTCAACTACCAATCAAAAATATTCTGTGTGTACTTTTATTTTTATTCTTATCTATGTTGTTCGAAAAAAAGCCCACAATGTTGTGGGGAAGAGAATTGTGAAATTAAATGTCAGGAAGCCCTGGAAGTGTTCTGAGCCTAGGCAGCAGGAGTCCCTGTGTTAGATGGAAGTAGATGAAAACAGCTTGGCAAGGGCTCAAAAAAATTCCCTCAGTGAAGATGTTATTTTCTAGGCATTTTTTGTAAAACATTTCTCTACATGGCCTTCTGGGCATCTTGGTAGAGAAAATTTTATATGTATTTTAGAAAGAAAATAGGTAACTCCTTTCATGTTGTTTACACAACACTTTATTTAATTTTTTTTATATAAACCTTATAATTT